ATAATAAAATCAAATGATACATGATGCAATACAAGTGCACACACATTTTTCAAGTTCAGATTTGGTGTTGTACACGTGACCAACTGAATGCTGATAAATTCATGAAATTAAGGATGCAAAACTAATGTCATCTGAAATTGTGTGATCGAATATCAACAAACTTAAATGCTATTATTTTTTCCCTTTACCAACGTAAAAAAATGAGTTGCATGTATCTGGTCAGACAAAAATTTACCAGTCTAAAAGATTATTTTATTTGTCAGAGCAAATAAATGTCTGACATTGATATTTCCCGCAGTATTTTTTTTTAAAAAGAGAAACGTTCTGTCTCTTTATTGATGAAATTGAAAGAAGTTGGGTTAAACCTTAGCGTTCCTTTGACCTTACATCTTTGTTTACATCTCTATATTTAGACAATCGCGTCATTGTCAAACCAGTTAGACCAGTTGTTGCTCCTTGCAATTGGATGACCTCGCACTTTTTGTAATGGAGCGTAGTGGAGTCCGCCGAGGATTGCCGAATGATAAATGACGGAAAACTGGGACTTTTTTCCATACGGAAATCAAAATTTACGTGTCATTTCTCAAGAGAGATGACAAAAATATGCTATTCAAATTAAGTTAAATAAAATTCTATTTCTTTTACTTTCAAATCGTTTATAAAAATTAGATTAATTCAGAAAAATGAGATGGACTATTTTCATTGCGGAAGTTTCTTCGAGTTTATATATACTGATACGAGTTTTTATTGAATATCACAGGGGAGTAAATTGGGCGACACAGAAACACCACGACGGCCGCTATATAATTCACTGTAAAATTAATGCGCTAGAAACTGCGTGACAGCCTAGGGAGTCTGAACATAGTTCAACTCCCAAAAAGATGAATATCCGCCATTTTGAATCGCCATTTTGACTTTTAACTTACATCACAGCATCATTCAATTGTAAAATAGTGAGATGTAGAGGGCAAAATACAAATCTGCAGTGTATGGATATTTGCAAATGTAAAATCCTGAACAAAGAAGAATATAGAAACAAAAAAAAAATTTGAGAAAATTCGAATTAAGTGTAGAAACGACTGAATTTTCGGAGTTTAACTAATAATGTTAGCATTTTATTGTCATTTTTATACTTGTATTACACTCAGTGAGATATTCACATATTATTTCTCCTTTTTGAACGATATTGAGAGAAAATTAGAAAATTTTTGATGTCCGCCATTTTGAATCGCCATTTTGACCTATTTAACGCCATTTTCATGAAGGCCAGCATATTTTTTCGGATTCAGCATACTCAAAATAGGTTAAAAAACTATGTTGGACCAAATAATAATTATTTGTCGCTAGAAGTTATTTCTAGCCTTCTTTTTTTAAAATCAGGACCAGACTAAGTCCCTTTTAAGTTGGTATGAAACTCGAGTCCTCGCGATACAAAGTGAATTGCTATGGTATACCACATTGCCAAACGTAGATTTATAGGTGAGGAATATGCAGTCTCTAGAAAGGATGAAATTTTTTTGAGATCAGGTTTTGGAATTATTTCCTAGTGTTTTGTGGGGCGAGTTGTTCTCTCTGTCATCCTTAAATTTGTTTAAGAAGGCCAGTCAAGCATTTGTTTGCCATTTTGAAAGTTTTATCATTGACAATATCAATATCCCTTCTCAGGTCTATAACCGACGGCTGTTTGCTGCAGGAATGCCTTTCAAAGTATTTTTATGGTACTCTTCATTTGGTGTTTTGGCTTTGCTAGGTCTAGCTTCACAGTAAAACCGTTCAAGTTTAGAGGCTAATTCTTCAGCGCTTACTGATGAAAGGTCATTGTTGTCATTGAAAGTTTCCAACTGCAAATCTACAATACACGTACATGCACTTTGTTACTCGTTACCATTATTGTTTTATTTTTCTATATTGTACTTTGTATATTGTACTTTCTGTATATTTATTACTTTATTTGCCAATCATAGCTTTGCAGTTCTTGAAAAGAGGATTTTCAATGATTTTTTGCTATATATATACCTAGGTAAACCTTTGATCTTCTATTGTGGCCTCCTACCCCTGGGGGTCATCATTTGAAAATAAAACTTGAATCTACACTACCTTTAGATGATTCCACATGAGTTTCATCTTTCCTGGCTCACTGGTTTTTGAGAAGATTTTAGAAGAAATGATGTAACTGATTTTTTTTTTACTAATTTGTTATTATCTCCCTTTGAAAAAAGAAGTGGTCCTTAATTTGAAAAAAAAAACTTCAATCCCCTTCATCCAAGGATACTATGTACCAAGCTTGGATGAAATCGGCCCACTAGTTCTTGAGAAGAAGATGAAAATGTAGTTTGTGAAAAGATGAAAATGGGAAAAGTTTGTGACGATGACAACAATGACAGAGATTGGACAAAGTTTGATCAGAAAAGCTCACTTGCGCCCTCGACTCAGGTGAGCTAAAAAGTTATGAAATGGTTGAAAATTTGATAAACTATTCAAAATACCTTAAAGTCACTTATTTTAATGGGTGTATCATGACTATACACTTAGCATGCTTATTTTGGTTACTTAATACCCAAAGGCAGATCAGAGTAACAGAAAGAAAATGCATTTCCACTTTATAACCACCAGTTGTGCACACCAACCCAAAGAACCACTGACCCATGGGCCACATATTTCAAAATTTTGAAAATTTCATAAATTTCATTATATCAGAAATGGGTGATTAATATCAAAAAGCAGATTTCAAAGTATTGCTTTATTTTCAGACTATGTACCCCCCCCCACGTCTGCAGAACCCCTAACGCAGGGGCCCTGAAATTAACCATTTTGGAAGAGGCATCTTTTTTCATCATAAATATACACATGTATATTTAGATAATTGGCATTATACCAAAGAGCAAAGGAAAAAATTTTTAAAAGATTCATGTGTTTTCACAATATAATAATGATAGAGCCCCGCCCTAACACCAGAACCCTTGACCCAGGGGTCATGAAATTCACAAATTGGAAAGCTGCATCCTTCCTCATCACAACTATAAACGTAGTTCATTGGTTTTATACCAAGGAACATAGGAGAAGATTTGTAAAGAATTTATGCATTTTCACTATATAATCAACAGCCCCGCCCTAAAACCAGAACCCCTGACCCTGGGCCATGAAATTCATAATATTGGATCTGTCATCATGTTCTTCTTATTGTATTTTTTCTGTTAAAAACAAGAAATAATCAGTTCACATTGTCAGGATCTGTGCAATTCTTCTATATTGTACCTTAACAGGTTCCTAAGGATTGAGGATGAAAATCGAACCACAAAATACTGCGACTAAAAATTATTAATAAGATACGAAACTTCCTTCCTATATTCTGCATATTCCCGCATCTCAACACGATCGTCCTTTCTCCACCGTTCATCGTCATAAGCGGCCTTGTGGAGGGCGCTTGCTTTGTGATCGTCGGTCGTTAACGATAAGTCGCTAACGTAAGGGAAGTCCGTAACAAAGTTAAATTTTCCTACGGGTCTTTTAATTGAGACCATAAATTCGAGGTCCCTTTTCACAAAAGAAAAAATCCAAAATGATGTATCCAAAATAAATAGTTAAATTCTTTAATCTGCATATGCCTAGTATATAATTGTAAGGTTAATTTTCAATTTATTCTAAATGTGCAGTATGAACATTTATAAATTGTGGGTTAGATGTAAGTATCCAGTTCATATGTAGAACAAGTAAATCTCATTAGTTGTGGAAGTACCGCGCTGATATTAAGGTATCATAAAGATAATTGACCATTGAAAATGAACGTTGTAGTTCCTAATGTATAAAATTATAATTTTTGTTCTTTGAATTTTCCTTCCAGTCTATTTTTTTTTACAATATTGGTAACTGTGTATCTGTGCCAGGTGCAATTTTACATACTTTGTAAATAAATAGAGGTTTATGTCAGGAACTATATCTTCAGAACAAATATGAAGAGCTCTACTTCTTGGTGACAGAAGTTTAGCTTTAAAAATAGGATACACCTCCTCAGATCTGCTTCCGTTAATTGTTTTGCTACATGTAGTTTTATTGGGGAATATCAATTGGTGATTAGCATTATTTGCATTCTGTTATTCGAGAAAATTCACTGGAGGTTCAGAAATAAATGAATAAATAAATAAAAATGTACATGTACAAGAAAAAAATATCTAAGAAATAAAAAAAACCTTTTAAATTATTTAAGTAAATCAAATTGATGGGAGAAGAAAATTCACAGGAAAATTCTCATAAATTTTCTCATGACTTTTACAATTAATCAAAAGTTCTTAATTCTTAATGCTAAAATTAGAATGTGTCAGATTTTAAAGCAACTCAACTTTTTGACCAGGAAACTTTTTCCTCATATATTTATACAGGACTACAGCTAGTAATTACGTGCAACTAAATTTACAATAAGCTGTCTTTGTGACCTTGTAAAGGGGGAGGGGGCATATAATTCAGATCGATCTTCGTTATATTGTAGATAGATAGATTGTTTGTTGTTTAACGTCCTCTCAAGAATTTTTCACACATATGGAGACGTCACCGTATGCCGGTGAAAGGCTTCAAATTTAGATCTATACTCGGCACTCAGGGCCATTGAGCAGTGAGGGCTCTTTAACGTGCCAACGCCTACCGCGACACGGGACCTACATTTTTAAGGTCATATCCGAAAGACCCGTGGCTTTCACTTCTAATGCCAAGCGTTTAGTGAAGGAATAGTCACTATCTATGTTCAGCGGCGCCGCGAACGAGAATAGAACCCGGGCCTCACGTATTACTTAAATTGTAGATAAAATATGGTGTAGAGATCTAAATTTGAAACACAACTGCTGTGTTCATTGATATCTATAAACATTGTTGTGGAAGACAACTAAATTTAAGATAAAATGATGTTAAAAACTAGAAATTACTTATTTTACACAGTAAAACAAGTAGATTATTTTACTCAAGGGATTTCCTCTTCAAATTGAAGAATTCTTCCTCTTTCCTGAACATAATGTGAAAATGGCTTCTTATAGTTGGATGTAAGTATAAAAGTGAGATTTGTATATGTTATTATGAATATGATTATAACCACGCATTTCTTAAGATTATAAACTATAATGATGTAAATCTTGAGGACTGTTGAAAAGTAAAAATGATTACGACCTGTATACTTAGACCTTGATACACAATTACTCAATAGTTATATGTATCATATACCGCCAGTATATACCTAAAATCTTAATTTTTAAAACTATTGCCCTGTCTCTAATTATTATCGGATTCAAGTTTCAAGTGTGAATCCGAATGCCCGGCGTGATATATATTCATTTAAACTTATCACATTAAAGAGACACTATCAAAAAACCCTGTTAACTCAATTATTTTCACGCAAAATTAACAGGGTATTCAATCTTTTTTTTTAACAGTGATTTGGATATCCAGCATTTATCCGAGTCTGTGTTTGTGGGACTGTGCCACAAAGTGGGGACCTCTCAACAAGTGACCATGAGGAGAGAACTACTAGACATGGACGAGATGGTGAAAAATCAAGTAATTTTTACAAGTGAAAAAACGATAACGATAATAAGTGGCAGTTTTAAGGAAGGATTCAGGCTAATGGAGTCAGATATAGACTTGATGACCTGGCGAAAAGACCACAATATAATCTGGGACTTGGATCAGGCTCAGAATTATGACTTAAGCATAAAAACACTGATTCTCAGTGTTTGTTCGGAAAGTCCACCTGGATTTGCTTTACTGGAATTATTGACAGAAACTGGCAATGAATCTACAGAGAATGCATGCATAAGAATCAATGACAGACTCTATATATCAAGTTCTGAATTCAGAAGAATAAAAAATTCTGCTTATATTCCTGATTCTATGGAACATGGTCCTTGGGATGAGGTGACTTGCGGCCCCTCGTATATTGATAAAAAATTAAATGTCTAAATTTTACTCAAATTTTTGTATGTAACTAATCACTGATATGTGTACCTTTATAGAATACTATTTTTAACAAAAACAGAAACGTGATTTGAAAGATATAGATCTTTTATTGAGGTAGGGGTATCATGTTTACATTCAATTCCCATAGCATTTTAACCCGCCCCACTCTTTGAAGCCCTTAAAATATTACGAGCGCAGATAGGTACAATTTTCTCCTTTGGCTGGTCACTGTATTTCATTGAAATCTACCTATATGTGAAAGGAGAAAGTTGTACTTAACTGCGCTCACATGCTATTTTTTTTAAAAATTGTAAAATCTAGTTGCCCTTTCCCATTATAAACAGATCGACGGAACTAGATTTTCTGACGTTAGAATGAATTCATATGCTAATCGAGGCACAGGCGATACTTTCTAACTGACCAATCAACTAAATGAAATTCCTTTAAAGGGTCATTCTATGCATTGAATTTTTATTAATTAAGTACCACAAAAATATTATGGAAACATGCTTGGAATTTTACTGCTTTCCGATATTTTTTATGCATTTGAGTCACAGATTAGACACGGATCTACATATGTACCATTTCCGAGACCACAGTAAAATTTATATACAGTTACAAACAATTGATACGAGGGGCGTTCAATAAATAATGTCACTGGGGCTCAGAAAGAAGCAAACGACGCTTTTCAATGATTTAGTCTTCATGATTTTACTTATTAATCTCTTTTAGTTCAAACACATGTCCGTAACATTTTTTATCCAATTTCTGATTGTTTTTAGAACTCATTTCTGGGTATGACCCTTAGTATACTGAAAAATTGCAGATCCAATGATTTCCTGGACTTGTTTTTTTCCTTCTGAAAGGTGTTTGGAAATAGAAACAATTCAAAAAGTCAAAGATCTGGCAAATATTGTTAATGTGAAAAAACATTAACTTTCTGTTTATCCCGAAAATCCCTTACTCTTTAGGGCATGCGGGTTTGAACGCTGTCATGAAGAAAGTCAATGTAGTGGATTCCTGATTCTGGGTCCTTTCTCTGATAAACCTTTTGATTTCTTTGCAAAAAACTGCTTTTTAGACACCTCCAGATATTAAACTGTCTCCCCGAATACGAATTTGAACAACAATATCACTAATATTTAAGAAAATTGCATATAAATCTGTCTTTGTGCTCTTGCAAACCTTTGCTCTTGACAGACCTTCGCCGTTTCTATCAAGTACATCTTATGTTAAATTTTGTTTTAATGGTTTTAATTATAAGCAATAGATTCATGTTCCAATATCTATTTGAATATAAAACAAACGTGGATTACTACAATTACTGATATTTTAAAATAATTGTTATGACTTTTGTACACGCTGTCGTTTTCACTCATTTTTCAAAATACAGGGTGACCTTAGAGTACCAAGCTTAATAAATGTCAAACGTTTCTTAAAAACAGTGTAAACTACTCCCGATATGATGTCTATCAAATTTGCTATGTGTCCTAAAGTCAATCATACAATATCAAATATTATTTGTTGAAATTTAGCATACAGTACATAAGTTGTTATAATTTTTGTTGGCAAGGAGGGTACCCATTTTTGATGCCCATTATATAATTATTTATCATTGAAATCCACCTGCTCATTTGTCTATAAAACAGGATCGGTTGCTGTAAATGTCTCATATATTATAGTGAATATTTCCTTGGGATTTTTAACAAGTTTTACAGCAACTTTAATGTAGCTTTTATTTTCACTCTAGTTTAATGATTCTTTACCGTTCATTTATAATGCAGTGTCTCGAATAGCCCTTGTTTCCCAGCTTCTCACTATAAAATTATGTGATGAAAAGTGGTCACATAAACTGTTATAAATTCATTAAAGATTCAATAATGAGAGAAAGTCAAGCTTTATGTCAAATGAGTACTATGTTGTATGCCATCGAGCTAATGACATTATTTATTGAACGTCCCTCGGGGCGTTCAATAAATAATGTCACTGGGGCTCAGAAAGAAGCAAACGACGCTTTTCAATGATTTAGTCTTCATGATTTTACTTATTATTCTCTTTTAGTTCAAACACATGTCCGTAACATTTTTTATCCAATTTCTGATTGTTTTTAGAACTCATTTTTGGGTATGACCCTTAGTATACTGAAAAATGGCAGATCCAATGATTTCCTGGAGTTGTTTTTTCCTTCTGAAAGGTGTTTTTTTTCAAATTTGGAAATAGAAACAATTCAAAAAGTCAAAGATCTGGCAAATATTGTTAATGTGAAAAAACATTAAAGGGGGAGGAAATAAGCACCTCCTTCAAATTTACCTGGTCTTAGAAGTCTGTCAATCATCTGAAATTAAGCCTGGGATTGGATACTTTGATTTGATTGACATTTACTTTGCTGCTGTTGTGTATATCTTGTGTACCTTGTCTGGAGATCGTACCGACCATCGAATTAACTTTCAGGCTTTTGATGCCTACCGCACTGTATGCCAACGTGATAAAGAAGCAATCAAATCGTTCTTTTCTTTTTTTTTTAATTCATAAGAATATGCCATAAATATAATCAATCTATCAAATAAGTAAATAAATGACAAGAAAATCATGGCTATATAATATATATTATTTATAAATTTAATTTCAAAAGGGAGGATTTCAAATCACGATTACAATCGATAATTTTAATTTCCGTGTCAAAACATGAGTTAACGTACATTTATTCCTCCATTAAATAAACCGACCTGAACTTGACGCTAGTATCATGGAATTAAATAAAATTATTTTTTAAAAAAAGTATGACAACATTGTAACATTGTTCATGAGTCAAGCGAATTCATATGTATAAGACAAACCTGTACGTTTCGCTTTTCTTCGAGACATGGTGACAAAGTTACGGTATAATAATAAATTTTAGAAGAGAAATTACTCGGAATATAACATCATGCTTTGTATCTAATGTTTGAAATTAATAATGAATCCCGAAAGAAAAAAAACGATGCAGATGATTCTTTTCCCGTTCCATAGCTGTCGGGGAATCAACCCCGGTCCGATGCCCTGGTCATTTTTACCGACCATGCGTTATGGAAAAATCAAGTAGGATTTATCTTAAAAAGATATTTATTTAGACAATAATATTTCTATATTTCAACATTTTATTCTCAAAACATCGTTTTTAAGTTTCATTGTTATATTTACCGAGAGACTGTTTTATTATTCACTTTCTTCTTTCGTTTTGTTCGTAGACGACGTGTAATTTTTTTGTCGCCAGATTACAACGACAGATTTTGGTGCAATATGTATTTTCGTTATAACACTTCATTAAGAAACACAATGTATATATAAAAAATGTCGAATTATTAAAACTATTAATTATTTTAAAAGAAAGAAATTGAGAAGGATTCCGTCTGCAACAAAAAATACTTTATTTCGCATTTCAATTCATAAGCTAAACATGAAAAAGAAAAACGGCCTCGGTTTACAAAGTCGTATGAAAACGCATACAATTAATACACTCAGGGGCTCAGGTAACATCCTGTGTATATAAGTAGTATACACAAGCCAGTGTCGTTCCCTCGGGCTTCTCAGCCGCTTCGATTAAGCTCCACCCCACACCAAACTTACCTGAGAAAAACCGTACGGTTGAAAACCTCGACCTTTAACTTTCTGTTTATCCCGAAAACCCCTTAACACTTTAGGGCATGCGGGTTTGAACGCTGTCATGAAGAAATTCAGTGTAGTGGATTCCTGATTCTGGGTCGTTTCTCTGATAAACCTTTCGATTTCTTTGCAAAAAACTGCTTTTTAGACACCTCCAGATATTAAACTGTCTCCCCGAATACGAATTTGAACAACAATATCACTAATATTTAAGAAAATTGCATATAAATCTGTCTGTGCTCTTGCAAACCTTTGCTCTTGACAGACCTTCGCCGTTTCTATCAAGTACATCTTATGTTAAATTTTGTTTTAATGGTTTTAATTATAAGCAATAGATTCATGTTCCAATATCTGTTTGAATATAAAACAAACGTGGATTATTACAATTACTGATATTTTAAAATAATTGTTATGACTTTTGTACACGCTGTCGTTTTCACTCATTTTTCAAAATACAAGGTGACCTTAGAGTACCAAGGTTAATTACTGTCAAACGTTTCTTAAAAACAGTGTAAACTACTCCCGATATGATGTCTATCAAATTTGCTATGTGTCCTAAAGTCAATCATACAATATCAAATATTATTTGTTGAAATTTAGCATACAGTACATAAGTTGTTATAATTTTTGTTGGCAAGGAGGGTACCCATTTTTGATGCCCATTATATAATTATTTATCATTGAAATCCACCTGCTCATTTGTCTATAAAACAGGCATCGGTTGCTGTAAATGTCTCATATATTATAGTGAATATTTCCTTGGGATTTTTAACAAGTTTTACAGCAGCTTTAATGTAGCTTTTATTTTCACTCTAGTTTAATGATTCTTTACCGTTCATTTATAATGCAGTGTCTCGAATAACCCTTGTTTCCCAGCTTCTCACTATAAAATTATGTGATGAAAAGTGGTCACATAAACTGTTATAAATTCATTAAAGATTCAATAATGAGAGAAAGTCAAGCTTTATGTCAAATGAGTACTATGTTGTATGTCATCGAGCTAATGACATTATTTATTGAACGTCCCTCGTAGAATATACATGTTATTCATTAGTTTAAAGTTTTTTTAGCGTGTTTGGTGAGCAATTCGCTAGGTCTACACGTATTCCCGAGTATCGGTGAATACATGTTTCATGTGCATTTTTTGTTCTAAAAACCATAAATGCTGAAAATCCATGCGTATTATAAAGTATAAACAGCATTGGCTGACCATTATAAAAGTTTGAAATGTAGAAAAGGATAACAGGTAAATTGACCTAAACCACGTGTCTGCGATAAAATGTAAACGTACTAAACCAGCATGTTTTGTTGTTCTG